CGTGTTTGTGCATAAGGATGTTTCTAGGGCCATCACTAAATTATTAACGGTGGCTTTCTCTGGGATTGGGATGGGGTCTTATAAACTTCTAGACAGCTTGACTTTTTTTCTTTTTAAATGAGCCTGTGAAGCTCTGAAATCAGACGGACCTCAGACTGAAGCCATTTACTTACTTGCTGTGCGACTTCTGGCAAATTACTAAACCTTTCTGAGAACCATTTCTGAAATGAGAATAATGACAGTAGCTGCCTCATAGGGTTGTACTGAGAATCAGGGAGTAACACAAGAAAATCACTTAGCGTGGTGCCTGGCAAAGAGTGCGTGTCCGGCAAATGTCATCATTATTCTTGTTACGACTTACAAATCAGTTTACAAAGAGGTACCGCCGTGCAGGCAGGTCCAGCGCTGTGGCGAGGGGAGCAGAAACGCACCAGGTGACCTTTAGGACACCTTCCAGTGCAGCTTCCCAAGCATCTAAGATCTCAGGATTCCTTGCTGCCAGGTTGGGGGCCAGTAACCTGTGGTCCGTGTCCTCCCCCAGCACACGCCTCCTTCAGCCTGGGCAGCTACTGGCTACCTTCTTGGCCAGAAGGCACCATGACCCGTTACCAGCAAATGGATGACCCTAGGGAAATGCCGCAGTAACCAATACTCTGGTGGCTGACATCAGCTGCATCTCCTATTGCAGTGGCCTTGCCAAGCAGCCTGTCTTGATACCGGATAAAGTCCAGACCCTCCTTAGCCTTGTCAGCAGCTTCCATATGCTCTCCTCTTTCAAATGGACAAATCCTTTGCTTCTGAATAGATGTTGCCCACCTTTGCTCAACTTGTGCCCCTGCCTGGCATGTCCTCCAATCCGATCCCCTGGCAGGGCCTAGCCCCAGCCGTCCCTCCTCTCTGAAGCCTTCTGTGTCCATGTGGGCCCTCCTCTGAACTTGGAGAGCACCCACCATGTGCCCGACCCTTGTGGTAAATTCTCTCATTTTCCCCTCTCATCTTCTCTAATCTTCCACGATCACTAGGAAGGTATGCTCATTCCTATTTTTCTCAAGAGGAGAAAGAACAAAGCTCACTCAGCTGAGACGGCCTGAGCTGGGACTCAACCCTGGTTCGTCTGTTTCCAAAGTCAAAACTCTTTCCCCCCAAATCCCTCTCTCAGGAGGTGGGTGCTGCTGCCTCCCGGGGGACAGGAGCCATGCCTTGCCCCGCTTCCACCCCACATGGCAGCTTGCAAGGGCAGGCAAGGTGACCTCGGCTTTGCAAGCTGGCCCCACGTCACCTAAGTCAATTCTATGCAATGAGGATTCTTGGTTTCAGTGAATCTCAATAGGGGCACACTTGGTATTTGGGGTGAGTCGGTTGTTTATTGGGCAGATCTGTCCAGCGCCTTGAAGGATGTTTAGCATCCCTGGGCTCAAAATGTCAGGAGCCCCCCAGTTTCTGAAAAAACACAAACCACACCACCTCTGGAGAAGGGGCCTGGGGAGCAGGTACGACGTGTGCGCAAAACCAGTGTGTCACATGAACAACCACAGAAGATGAAGGCTCAGACTTGGATAACGTGGTCCCAGCTGTACTCTGAATTAGCTATGGGACCTTGGTCATGCCGTACCATAGCCTCTCCAGGCTCAGCTTCCACATCTATACAATGGGGAGAATAATGATAATGCAATCACGCACAGGAACATCTAGCACAGGTCCCAGCTCACAGTAAACTGTCAATTACAAGAAGCTATTAACATCTAAACCGGTAAGGTTTTCCATAAACATTAGTTAACCGAGCATAACGACAAAGTCTCTCGCTGGATAATGAATTCTGACTTTTTTTTAGCTCTAAAAACAGTGTCCCTGGGGCCGGCCCGGTGGCGCAGCGGTTAAGTGCTCACGTGCGCTTTGGTGGCCTGGGGTTTGCTGGTTTGGATCCCAGGTGCGGACATGGCACCACTTGGCAAGCCATGCTGTGGTAGGCATTCCACATATAAAGTAGAGGAGGATGGGCATGGATGTGAGCTCAGAGCCAGTCTTCCTCAGCAAAAAGGGGAGGATTGGTAGTAGTTAGCTCAGGGCTAATCTTCCTCAAAAAAAAAAAATCATACAGACTTAATAAAATATTTTTTAAAAAACACAAAAAACAGTGTCCCTATAAGACAACTGTTTGGTGAAAACTTGTCAAGTCAATGGTTCTGCCGCAAGAGAGGTGACAGCCTGTCTGGGGAGATCTAACAAGCACACTGACTTATACACAGTTCCAGAAGAGAGAGAAATGACTTCTGGAGCCTTGACTGCACATTCTGGGGCCAGGGGGGTTGGTGGCGAACCCTGAGTGACACAGACAGTAGGTAGACCACTCTTTATCCCTCCTGGCACGGGATCCAGATCCAAACTCAAAATCTCACTCTTCAGAGCAGTTTTACATACGGAGGGGAAAAATATATATATTATATAATAAATAAACACATAAATATGTATATTTAATGCCTGGCAGGAAAAGTAGGGAGATCACATCAGTTTTACAGATGGAGAAACTGAGGCTCAGAGTGGGGGAATGACTTGAAGTCAGAGTCCTGGAAAAGCACAGAGGGACCGCAGCTGTGAATCCACAGCTCATACCACTGTCTGGGAATGAAGAAGTGGGATGACTGTCTTGGAAATTTTTCAGGGAGCTGGCAGTGCCATCTGGGAGTGGGATGTGGCCCGGTGACTGTTAGGGCAGGAGAGACGTGACTCCTCTCCCGCTGCAGCTGGTGTGACTTTGGCCTGCTGGCTATAGAAGGTGGCGGGTAATCAGTGTGAAGGACTTCCTCATGGCTATTAACTCCCCTGTGTTCTTCTGTCACCTCCACCTGGATTATAAAATTAGGGAGTCCTACCCTTTGGAGATGCATGAGCTTAAGTGTGGGGTACAGGGTGGGAAGCCACAGATGTTGCCACATGGAGGCTTTCTCCAGGAGGGAAGAGCGATTCACACAGAAACCAGAATGAACGTTTCTAACCTGCAGAGTCTCTGATCATGTCAGGAACCTTCAGGTATGAGTGCGTCTCTGCTCGAGTCTCCAGCCTCATCATTTCCCCTTCCGGACATCCTATGCATCTCTCAGTCACAGATTAAAAGTCACTTCCTTTGAGAAGTCCTCCCTGACTGCCCCTGGGCCGAGCCAGGCGCTCCCTCCTCCATGCTTCCAAGGCCTCAGCTTCTGTCTACTGCAGGCCCATGACAGATGCTAACTGCTGGGTAGTCTGCCGCCCTCACTAGACTCCAAGGACAGGAACTGTGTGTCTGTCCTGTTTCCACCTGATGCTCAGCCTCTGGCAGTTCACTCAGCACATTGTACGTCCCCCAAAGCATTAGTGCTGATGATCCCGGGAGGCTGAGGAGTCGGGGAGCAAGGCCTTGTGGAGACCCCCTTTGGGCAACTTTCTTTACTTTTTAAAGATCGGCGCCGGAGCTAACATCTGTTGCCAATCTTTTTTTTCTCTTCTTCTCCCCAAAGCCCCCCAGTGCATAGTTGTATATTCCAGTTGTAGGTCATTCTGGTTGCCCTATGTGGGACGCCTCCTCAGCATGGCCTGATGAGCAATGCCATGTCTGTGCCCAGGATCCAAACGGGAAAAACCCTGGGCCACTGAAGCAGAGCGTGTGAACTTAACCACTCAGCCACAGGGGTGGCCCCTGGACAACTTTGTTAACCTCTCTCTGCTTCACTCACTCATCTGTAAAACTGGGCTCATCTGAGTGTAAAACACAAAGTGGGACACATGGGAGCCCTCGGGTCAGCTACTATGGTCATGGCTGTTAGGTGTACAGGCCAGGACACGGAATTCAGGGAGGGCTGTGCCAGGTCCACAGTCTCAAAGTTGGAAAGGGGCCGCCCTGGATTCCAGTCTGGACTCTGGCCTCCAATGTTTGCCTCTCTTCATTCTACACTTCAGGTTGTCTCCTGTTTGTTGCACATATTCAGTCAGTAAACAGCTAATAAACAGTTACCGGAAGCCTGCTGTGTTCCAGGCCCCAAGCTTGGTACTTGGATAACTAAAAAGCTTCTCAGTGGGGAGTGGGATAAGTGAGAACGTGGGCATTAGTGTGAAATCCTCCAGGGCTCCAATTCCAGCTTCTCCACTTCCTGGCTATGTGATATTACTAAGGTCCCTAATCTCAGAGCCTGTTTCCTCCTCTAAAAACAGGGAAAAATAAGACCCCCTGACGGGAGAGCTGAAACCAAGCACTGGCTCAACACTTGATGGATGGGATTATCTTCATCATCCTATTTTTAAAATAACCAATCTGTGCACAAGGTAGCAAATTCTTCCCCCTTGCCCAGGTACCCAGGACCCCAGTTCTCCTAACCGACGCCACCACAGTTAACTTCTTGCGCATCGTAGAAGCCGGCGGGTGCGCACACCGGCAGACATCCACACCCCACACACCTTCTGTTACACAAACCGTAGCGCCAATCAACACTGTTCTTTTTGTCCCTTCCTTTTCTCCTCTAAGTTATCTTGGAAGGCGTCCTATATGAGTACATGTTGAACACGTTTCGTTTTAGTGGCTGCACAGTATGTCACTGTATGGGTTATTTTTTAACGTAGCTGCCGTTACTATTACCAGTCTGGGAACTGAGAGGACTCAGGATCCACAGAGCTGTAGAGCTGGAGTACGGGACGGGGTTCCAGCCCAGGCTCTGCCCAGAATTCGCCCAGTTCCCTTGGGCTCCATCTTCCCCACCAGTACGATCGCGGGCGGTTGGGGGCGAGGGATGTGGGTGCAGAGAGGACCAGCCTGGCAGGTCCCAGTGTCCGAGTGAGGGTCAGCGAGAAGCGCACGCAATTTATTCTCACCAGCTGCTCCCGCTGGGTCAACATTTCGGCACAGCTATTTCGCTATACCAGAAGCATCAAAAGCCGAATGGACTCTGGTATAATCGAGCTCGGAACCGGCTACCAGGCCCTCCAGCCGCAGCACCCGACCTCGGGGCAGCAACAGTTAAGCACCAGCTACTCACCTCCGCCTCGCTCGCTTCACTCCTCGTCCCCAAGAGCGCCCTGAAGGTTACAGCCGTCCGTGGCCCTTTAAGAAGGTCGAGCCCGGGCTCAGCTACTTCCGCCCCAAAGCAACATGGCGCCAGCACGGTACGGAGGGGTGTGGACGCGAAGAGAGCTCCCCTCAAAAAGATGGCGACGCCCTGGCCGCCGCGTTCGCGCCCGGCGGTGACGTCACTTCCTGGGCGGAGGAGGCTGAGTGGTGCAGTGAGGGACAAACAAAAGGAGGCGCCGGAGGGGCGCAGCGGCCGGCCGCGGGACGAAGCGGCAAGGGCCGGGTGCTGCCAGCTGGGCGGCCGGGTGCGGCGGGCTCAGGTGAGTGGGTGGGGTGGGGAAAAGGGCGCGAGCTGTCATCTCTTGAAACCCACTCCTACACGTCCCTGGCCAGCTGCCCGGCCCCAGGCGCTGGGCAGCTCGGGCTCTGCCCGGAGCCAGCTCCCTGGGGGCTTCCCGCGGCAGTTCAGTTCGGCCTACCTCCGGGCTCCCGCATCCCCGGGGTCTCCGGGGCCCCACCCTCTTCTCGGTGCCGCGGCGCGCGAGCCCCCTCCCAGGCACCCCAGTGCTTCCCTGCGCTTTCCATTCCGGGAGTTTCCGCCTCGGCTTCTCCGGGTCCTCTTGTCATCCCCTGGGTTCCCCCAGATCCTCACCCCTCCACACACACACTCCCCCCTTCCTAGAGGTTCCACCTTTGGACTGTCTCCTTGGCAGCTTTTTTCGTTTCCAAAGGGTCCCCCTGCTGTCTTCTCCTGCGCTCCTGGCCCCCTCCTCTTTCCCCGGACCCCTCCCTCCTCTTGATCCGGCGGGAACAGTGCCCTGACTTGAGGGCAGGATCCCTGGCTAGGCTCTTGGGGCCTGTCTGGGCTGGGGTTCCTGGGAAGATCGGCCCAGGGTCCGAGACTCCGGACCCTGCCCGTGCCCTTTGCGTCTTGATGGGCCGGAGAGGCGGATCTGATGAGGTCCGGGCTGGAGATCTAGAAAAGTTGGCTCCCGGTCGGAAGGAGCATAGCTGCCGCTCCTTGGGGTTCATGATGATTCTGCTCCTTTCTTTGACTGCCTCTTGCCCTTGGTCTGGACTGGAGTGAACCAAGGGCTAGTTCTTAGCTGATGCAACTGCTGCCTTTTTTGGGAAGGAGGAGAAATGGTTGGGGGTGTCGACAACCTCCTCCTGATGGGGACTTGCCTGGAAGGGTGGGGCCGTTTTTCGGTGACCACACTCTGACGCCTCTTCCCCAGGAAGCCTTTTGGGGATGAGGTGTGAGGATGGAGAGGGAGAGAGCTTGGTGAGGGAAAGCGAATTTCGGCCTCAATGGCGGAGGACGGGTTTGAGGGAGCTGAGAGGCTACCAGAGGCCTCTCCCACCTTTTCCATTAGGAGGACCTTAAACCTCTGCCAAACTGTTTCCTGCCCTCTGAGCAGACAGACTAGCAGACAGACAGACTGAAGGCAGGAGGAGTGCTGCTGGTGGTGATACTTCCTGTGGAGGGGATGGGGGAGTGGGAGTTTGTGCAGAGGGCCTGGGCAGTCAGTGCCCGTGGCTCAGTCACACTGGCATTGCCTTCGTGAAGGTCAGGTCTTCCTCTGGCTCACGGGGAGAGGCAAGGACAGGTGACTTGTGGTGGAGGACTGGCTTTTGGAGAGATGCTGGGGCATGAATCACCAGCCTTGGCTTCCCTGTCTTCTCGGTTTGAGAGATTCCTTGGGGTTGGGTCTGATGCCCCTCTGCCTGTGGGCTGTGGGACACAGAGCAGGATCCAAGAATGTTTGTGACTTCTCCTGGGAATTTAGCTAGGTGGTTTGCACTCCATGTCTTGGGCACACCCGCTAGGAAGCAGTTTCCTCTGCAAACTTTGAACGGCCTTTCTGGACTGTGGGGTATCCTGAGGACTGCCCTGGTAGGTCAGAACCAGGGGAGGTCGCTGGGCCTTGGGTGGCTGCCTGGCTTGGCTCGGACCTCCCCTATAGGAGCTGGAGGGAAGGAATCAACCTGGTTCCCCACTCCCTCTCCTGAGAGTGGAGGTGATGCCAGGTTTCCACATGGGGACCCTGAGGCATGGGCTAATGGTATAAGACCTCATGGGGAGTCAGGTGGGATGGATATGAGGCCCTAGAGCCCAGCACACTATCTCGCCACCCCTTGACTCATTCATTCATTCAGTCAGTCAGTCATCCTTTAGTAAGTGCTTGGCCTGGGCCAGGAATAGTGGTAAGAGAACACAGTCCCTGGCCTCCTCTGAGCTGCCATCTAAGACGAGAGGCAGATAGGGAAACAGCAATACGGTGGCCAATGTAATAATGGCGACACAGAGACAGCCCAGAGGAAGGAGGCCTCAGCTCTGGGGGAATATGCAGGGGTGGTCAGCCTGTGTTTCTTGGAATAGGAGGGACTAGAAGAATCAGTGACAGGGAGTCCAGAGCTGGAGTTCTGGTCCGGGCTCTGCCACGGGCGAGTGACTGGACAGCCCAGCGTCGGTGGGCATCCCCATCCTTGCCGAGGAGGGTGGGTAGGGGCAGAGGCTGGCTTGGATGGCCTCTGTGCCTCTGCAGCTCTAAGTGCTTTACGGTCACAGTCACCTGAGTGGGGTTGCTGGCTTATTGACCTGTCCCCCTGTGAGGCTGGAGGCTGCCTTCTGCTTCTTTTCTCCCAGTGGAGTGCCTGGTGCTGAGTAGATGTGATAAATGCTCAGTGGCATCCGTGGTTGCAAGGCTCCACAGTCCCTCAAAGAGCCGTTCGGGTCCCTTTGTCTGCCTGTGTCCCCTCTTCCCCCACTTCCTCCTTCCTGCTAACTCCTCCTTCTCCTTGGGCCACACTCCCAGCTCCTGGCTGGTGGAGGTGCTCCCCCTTCCCCTGCAGTGGTCTGATCACACTTCTCTCCCTACCCTGCCAGCTTGTCTTGTTCACGCGTGTGAGCAGTTCTGAGCAGAGTGCCTGGCATGTAAGTAGATGCTCGCTCAATGCTCCTTGACTAATCAACGATGGTTGGAGTTGTGTTTGAGTCGAAGTGGTGTGTCTGGGCTGAGGCTGTGTCTTTGCCTGGATCCAGCTCACCCCACCATAGCTCATCTCTCCCCACTTCCCACGTCCAGTGGGATCTAGCCAGGCCAAAGCACTCAGCGTTCTCTAGATGTCACGTTCTCTCCCCTCCAGGCAAACATACTGTTCCTTCTGCCTGGAATTCTCTCTCCCCAACTCCTCCTCTTCCTCGGGAGTCAACTCAGGCAGCACTTTTTCCAGGGAGCCTTCCCTGACCCCCTTGGTCAGGATCCAGTGGTTCTCCCATGTTCCCATAGCTTCTGGGTTCCGCCCAGCAGAGCCCTGGGCTCTTAAGAGCCAGTCGTCATTTTTGACTTGGCGTGTCCCCAGTAGACTGTCTAATTCTCTCTTGTCAGCCCAGAGCCCAGCCCAGGGCCTGGCACCGGTCAGGTGCTGAGAAAACGTTGGCCGCACAGCAGGTAACGCTGATAGTCACACTCAGCCCTTCACACTCAGCCCTGTTGACGTAGCTCTTGCTTCCTCGTAGGGAGGGAGCTTCCATGGAGCGAAAGGAATGCCAGGACCCTGCCCAGACAGATGTGGGCCAGCCTCAGCGCCGACAGCCAACACGCAGATAGCAGAGCCGTCCACGGGGTAAGGACTGGGCCCCTCTCCCTCCAGGTCAGCCACCGCCTCCGGTCAGGTGCCTTCCCCACCCTGGGGAGCACAGGGCAGTGTTTCCTTCTCTGTGGTCCTTTGCTCTTATTGCTGTAGGTCCAAGGCATCTAGGGCAGAGGTGGTGGGAGACAGAACTCTTCCTCCTTCTCCTGCCTCAGTGGCCAGCTGAGAAGTATATGGTTGCTGGACTCTTTGAACGCCGATGTCAAGCTTCGTTGCGAACCTCTGTTTTTTCTCGCTCAGCCCAGATCTTGTCAGTCTGGATTGTTGCTGCTGTCTTGTGATCACATTTCCCAAGGTGTGTTCCATGGAACACCAGTTTTTTTGGTCACGGTGGTTAGATAAGTCTGGAAAAAATAACTTATTGTCTTTGCCGCAGGACTTCTCAGAGCCTTGAACACATTGACCTGAGTATGATGAGGCTCTGAGAGGGAGCTAGCAGGTCGTGTTTCCCCACACTCGCTTGATCACGTGGACATATTTGGGGACTGGTTTCTTGGCCTACACTTTGGTTCCCAAAGGCAGGAGAGGGCACTGGTTAGGACCCAAATTTTGTAGTCACACCTGGGTTTGAGTCCCAGCTGTCACGTGCTTGAGGAGTGACTCTGGGCCAGTCACTGTACTTCTCTGAGCTTCAGTTTCCTTATCTATAAAAGGAGATAATATTAGCACCTTCCCTTCCTTTAGGATATTTTCAAAATTAAATATGTTGATAGAGGGAAGGCACTTAGCAGAGTGTGCATCCCAGAATGTGCTCCCTAATCGGAGTGGGGTGTGTGTAGACTGCTTTATAATTCGTAAAACACGCCCTCATCAATGATCTCCTTTGGTCATTTGAAGAAGCTCACGCAATGGCCTTTATCCCATGTACAGATGTGGAAACAGGCTCAGAGGGAGGAAGCCACTTGTCCCAAATCTTCAGGAAGGAAGGCAGGGACATGGGACTTGAACTAGACCCCAGGATCCTGAGCCAGGGTCCTTTATCCTGTGCCCGAGACCTCCCTGCATCTGCCTCCCAGCTCGGCTTTTTGTTAAGGAAGACCTGGCCGTCCCCAGCCTGGATTTTAAAAGAAAGTTATCTTCTTATTTTTGTTTTGTAATTACTCATACAGTTGAAGTTCATTATAGGTTCTTCTGTTTTGATCTTAGTGTCACATGGAAAGAGAACGTCTCCTGTGATCCCCATCTCCAGAGGTGCGAAGGGGAGGGGTGCGCCCTTCCACGGGTCTTATTACCATTTGCTTGTTTTTCCAAAATTGAGTGCTGTTAGAGCCGCTGGTTCCTACTTCCTCTTGCTCCGTTCACTGGTTCGGGCTGGACCTCTCTCCCAGGCCAGCATGGATGCGTGAGTCCTGTCAGCAGGGCCGATACCTGCCCGCCCGCCCACATTCTCACGTCTG